ATTTATAACTAAACTCCTGATATCAATAAAAAAAATGGTAACTGGTTTTTCTTTTTATTTCAACAGTCATAATTTAAGAAATGAACGAACCACGTATCTTTGATCAGTAAAAAGAAAATTTATTGTTCTCTTTAATTTATACAAGACAGTATAACCAGAAGTCAGGAAACTTTATAAAATATGTTGCAATCAACGCTCGTCAACAATGGTTGCTATTTAAGTTATGTACTCGATAATTTTGCTTTTAATATGTTTAAGCATTTTCTGTAGCGATCAGACATATTCTAAGTTAGATGTATCAAATTATTTTCATTACGTATATATTAACATACGATATTTTAATGATGCATTGATTAAAATATAAAACATGATAAGGGAACTAATGTTGAACAAATTGCTGTCAGCTGTCTTTTTAGTCTCTAAATACAACAGAAAAAAATAGACCCCAAAGTCCCGCATAGGGTTCCGCTCTGCAGATGATCTTTATATTATCTAAAGGTTAAATTGTGGTCTTCATTGTAAATACCTATATAAAAGATGCCTTAAATATGTAGTTACACCAATTTATGCCAACCTAAACAGAAATTCCTGCTGAAGTGGACTTCTCGAAACTAAACATCTGTTCAGGACAGGGTTATAGCGCATCGACTTGTGTCAATCATAAATGATTCGTTTGTTTGAGCTGGTACACTAAAAAGTATTGATGGTTCATTGATCTGTTTTTGAATGTTCCGGTACAACTAATCACAAACAAATGACGGAAACTTTTTAAATCGTGATTGGTGTGAATTGTGAATGAGTCGAAAATCGACCGAATCCCGAATGATCTTAATGAATTGTTTTTAGTGTAGGGTACTGGAGCCCGAAATGAACCATTTGAATTATCGATCCGAATGGACCGGTACGGGTGAAGTAATTTACTAGACTGATTCAGTCACGAGAAATAAGATCAGGCGCAGGAGCTACGGCTTTACGTGCTTCCCAAGGCACGGGAGCGAAACACCGCCAACTTCCTACTGCCCAACACAGGATTCGAACGCAAGACCACATGATCAGCAGTCGCGCTTACAATTAAAAGACCAACGAGGCAGTGGTGTACACGTAATGGACATGATATAAAAACTACTTGATTTTAGAGGGAGAGTACAATGTATGTATGTATGAATATAATTAGATACATATGACAAAGTCAAATTACTACGACGTACGCAAAGAGAAAATTAATATATATATATATATATATATATATATATATATATATATATATATATATAGAGGGCGCTTATTAAAATAATAATTAAATGTTTGGATGTTTTTAGATTTCTAAATTCAATACAGCCCGACTTTTAGATAAATCTTTATTTTGTTATTAAGTCCATTTCGTTGTAGGTCACTCGAACGTCTTGTATTTAAAATTAGAATTGATAAAACATTAATATCGAACGTGGATAAAATATTCTCCTTTAATATACAATAATTATATCAAATATTATATATTATAAAACAATATTATAATTATTTTAGTCAGTAACACATTTGAGCCCGGTTAACCTGCGATAATAAACAATATAATTAATGAATATAAGGCCAAATATCATTGTTACTAGCACCGTTTGCACTCATATATCAATCTATATACATACATATAACCACAATGTCTGCTATCATAGTCATCACGTCCTTAAATAAAAATGCTACAAATGTTATAAATTTAATATTTAGAAAAAAAACTGACTCTCAATTGTAATCAACAGAAATACATATTAACAATGTTCAGATTATATATCCACTTTATACTTAAACATAATTGTCACAACAGTGAATTGCAATATAGTCATTAAAAGAGAAAACTAATAATAAAAAAAAATATATATATATATATATATATATATGTTGTTATAATATTCTTATAATTAACTTTAATATTATAATTTTCTCTCGATTTAACACTTTTTAATGATTATTTAATATCATCTTTGGTTTTAAAATTAATAATGCTCGTAACCATTCGGAAAATAATTGTATGACCTAATTAAACAACTATAAATTTATCTGAGATTTGTCTTACATCAGTTTAAATCGAATACTTTAAGGCAAGAATTTCCGAAGTTAAAAGGCTTTTAACGCTCCCTTCTCCAGTGCCTGCATATTTGTCTATCATGAAATAAGCATGCTAAAATCGGTAGACAGAGATTTATTATATTTAAAGCGTTTGTTCTTATTACCAAGAAATAAAGGCTCTAAATAAATGTACTCGATCAACTAAACATGCCTCTTAAAAAAAACTAGAAGTCGTCAAAGTTATTTCCCGCCGATTAAGTTGTATATTTTTTAATCTTGATTGATTTAATTTATTTTTGAAATTCATTGGATGAAGAATTTAATCGAGTTTTTCATATATGTACATATTTTGATTAGAGCGTACTATTTCAAGAAGTATTAATTCTCGCGCGTCAAAATCATGTCTAAAATACGATACTTTGTCCAACCTGATCTTAAAGATTACCTACCATTTATAGTCTTAAGATCATACTATTGTCTTATTTAATTATAATGACACATATTTATCGTAATATATATTGTTCATACTTGCATTTCTGAATGGTTAGACTAGCAAAATTAAATAAACATTTATAAACCTTACATACATATTTAATAACTTCTCTTATTCTAAAATGACATTTAACACCGTCACTATAAAACAGCATTTACTTCGGCAAGTATTTTCTGACTCCACTTAATACGCATTTACTTACAAACTACTTCGATCGATTTTCATACAGCTTTATCATATTTAACAAAGTAACCTAGGTATACCTAAAAATATCCCTTCATATATCCCTATTTACTTTATCTTGATTGCACTAATTTACTATACATATATTACTGTGTAGAAAAGAATCATGCCCACTTTCCATACATTGATTGACCTGTCACTTGATTCCTTTAACAGGTCGCGTCTACCTACAACTAGTGTTCTATAAAACGATTAATGTTTATAATAAAATAATAACTTACCATCTTTTCATTTAGAGGACAGAGAAAAATGTATCTAATCATAAATTAATAAGTAACAAAAAAAGTAATTGGTTATTTTGAACATTCACAAATCACATGACGAATGAACAAGTTTTTCGTAGTCTGAAAAGGAACGTGTAAAACACGTTTTTTATATATTTTGGCATGGCTCCTGGGCCTTTGAGACATTGTACAACACGTTCCGTCTGCAAGGAATGACAAACATAGTAACATTACTTTTTTCCTGGCTTTATTTGAAAATTCAATTATGCGATACGAAATAAGTAAAATATATGCAATTCTATAAGATATTTTACATCACTAGACGCGTTAGAAAGTTTTCAGGTCAAGATTGGACATGATTCTTTAGTGTAATAACAAAAATTATCTTACGGACGTCTAAGGCAAATGCTTCGAGGAACCACATAAAAACAATATACCGACATCGCTCAGAACTACGCGACGGATCGGTAATGAGGGCTAACAACCTTCCACTAACCAGATGTCGCTATCTGAGGTGAAGTTATTTTGGTTGAGAAGTTGCGTTTTAAATTTAAAAAATATCGTTTACTAGACCGTATTTAATACACAAAACAATGCCTCAATGGTTTGCTCATTATATTCTATTTGTTTAGTTATAGTTTAGTTTGAATATCCGAATCCGTTATAATCTAATTAGTATAAAATATAACTAATATTTCAGAAAAAAGCATTAAAACCCTTACATCTTTTTCCTAACAAATCAACTTTCTCAACCATAGAATACTAAAATACGTACAAAATAGAACCGAGGAGTGGGCGGAGCCCGCGTAGCCACTAAAATGTCACTAACAGGTCAATTCACACGTATAAATCAACACGAGATGTGTTTTGACGTTACAATCGTTTCCAAATTTAACATGAAAATTATTTAGTAAATGCCAAATTGCACCTTATTAACAAATAAATATGCATTAAAATTTAAACGATTTTTTATTGATCATCTTGAACATCAATCAAAAGTCTAAAATGTGTAAATTTATTCAGTCTGTCAACACAACGAATCGGGTTTGGCGACGCCAAACCTCGTACAAAATAAAGTTGGCAGCCATTCTATTGTGTATTACAGTATTCTATGTTTCTCACCATGACATCTGTCAAACATTTCATCTCTGTCCTAATTACTGATGACACATAAAGTCGTGGATGCAATGAAACGGATAAGTACTAAACGAGTCCTCGTATAAACATTACATGCATATTACTTGTAAGTATCGGATATATAACCTTATTTGGATGGACCCTTCAATGTCGTCATAACCGATTTCAACTGTAATATAAAATAATTCCATACTTTTATATAGAATTTAACGCAAATTCATTGCGAAACACAACTTCACTAAATTGTCGGCATATGTAGAGAATCAGCAATCTTATACTTTTTGATAGGTCGCAATAAAAAAAAACTTTAACATAAAAAGTGTGATAATCACTTTAACATACCAAGTTGTTTTTAACAGACCTTTTTTAAAGATTCTATTGGTAAGCTATGAAGGAAGTATCTTCTTTTCTTAATTTTACTAACAATATCTTTTATATATTCAAATTTTACTTAAAAATTAAAATATGGCAGCATTAATCAATATTTATCAGATTGAAAATTCATAATAAAACAACTTTTAGAATGGACGAATTAATTGGACAAAATTTGATAATGAATTTTAACCATAGAATGATTGAAAAATATACTCTTTTCCTTCCTCCTCATTCTAACTATGTACATGAACGACGAATTAGTAAGATACGAATTAGCAAATTTATTCCATATTTGCCAACAGGAATTGATTACTTTTAATCATCTTTATACATTAAAATGTTGTATTAGATGAATATTTCACCCTGTTTTCTTTATGGTTTGTAGCAACCAATCTTCTATGCATAATTTTCCTCCATTTGGCATCAACCCGTTATTTTTCACCATCACGTCTTTATTAATCGAATGTTCATTTATATTCGTCCATAAACCTTTTGCACATATGTACCAGATCGATGAACTTCGGCCTCAAGTTCGGGTCTACGGTCCAACAGTCCTTCATCAGGTGTCTAAATATTTCTGAAGGACAGCCCTCAGGTATTTGGAAACTGAAAGAAAATTCTCATATTAATTTGTAACGTTCTTATTCATGAAATCTGGTGGAAAGAAAATCAATAAAGCAATGTTTTAAGCTATTGCATAGCTTCTATCGCGGGCCTTGAGCGCGGGGACCGAATCCAGAAATTCCGTAACGAAAAAAAACCTAACGCTCCCCACTCCGACGGGAACGGAGGTGTGGCGTTGAAAGCCGTGCATCGTCTAACGTCGTTTTAGTTCGGCAGACTTCGGCACTCGGCAGACTTCGGCACGGTGTTTGTGTGCGTGTACACTAGCTGCTAACTCAATGATAAAAATTCCTGAATAACCTACATGTATTGTAAGATATTAAAAATATTTTAAACAATATTAACTTCTCATTTATTCAATAAGAGAAAAAAAATTGTTTTCTTATCGGTCACCACGCTCAAAAAGTGTAACTTGATTTAATATCAAAGATTTAACTGCATAAATAAAATAAATAAATAATTATAATTGCATAAGTTGATAAAAATGCTATGCAATAGCTTTACCGCGGCAGTCACCGAGTGCCACACGTATTTTTTCATTTTTTCTTGTAACTTAGACTATAAATTTAACAATCCAAAAAAGGTGAAAGATGTAAAATATTTTTTTTATAGAGGGGAGACAAACGAGCACACGGTCCACCTGATGGTAAGTGTCCATTTATTAGTGGACATTTTATCCTCGATCAAGAATCAAAATGCATGTGCGTTAACACACCGGAGGATCAAAATGCCTCGTCTCCAGTAAAAGGGTCGCCGGTTCTCTACACTCACCATACGAAACACAGCAGCATTAAACTGCTATTTTACGCTGGTATTCAAGTGAGAGTGTGATCCTTCCCTGGTCGAGCCGACCCATTCGTGCCACAACCATAATATAGGTGCAGCATGACTCTACCACGTAAAAATTATTACAAGCAATGGCGTTTGAAATTAGTTTGATTTTGATTTTAGTATTAAATAAAACATTTCAATAATTATTAACTGTTAATTTTCAAGTTATACCACTGCTAAAGACACTAATTGAATTTTAGTACAAATCTATGCGGTATGTCTAAAACAGCACTTTCAGGTTTAGGCCGTATCATGATTGGTCGGCGTCATCGTCGACATTTTTTTACAATTTGTTTATTTTTATTAAACAGAAGCAACTAACGAACGAACGGAAAAAATATATTTCGAAGACATGTGAAGTTCGCCCACACGCATTGGGGCAGCGCGGCGGACACTTCCTTACCCTAACACCCTCTCAGAAATGAGGGGAGACCTGTGCCCAGCTGTGGGACGTATATAGGCTGTAACTTTACTTAACTTTTACCAACGAACTTATGCCCAAGTAGCTACTACAGGTCATGCACACTCGCAGCGTTTCAAACAAAACAATCTGAGTGCTACTACCCAAAAGTAAATTGTGTTTTAAAAATTTTGACAACCCTACTTACAAGATAGGTCCATTGTTCATCGGAAGTTTTACGCATTAATAAAGGACAAGAATACAGTACGGGTACATTAATATGGTCATCCGGTTAATATGGTCACTTTCTTATAACTCACAAACTACAGTTTTGTTTGCATAGAAAGCTCTGTGATACGATAACTCTTCATCAGGCAATCAAATAATAATGGGTCAAAAGGGCTTTTTGACAGTTGATATCATAGTAAATATTTTAGTCGATTTTACTATTGTGTAGTGTAGTCAGTTTTTTCAAGTTGATTTTTCGAAGTGTCCCTAAGTATTGTCAAAGCTTGTTTGCTATTTTTTAAGAGCCCTCTTACATTTCGGCGTTACGCAAATTTAAGTATTTTACGCCCCGAGCGGGCGATACTTTGTTTCATATCACTCACTCGCACTATGTTACTGTGAGTATAGCAACTAAACGATCTTGATCTTCCATCATACAACTTTTCTTAGAATGGAGTTCAGTGAATAGAAAATTGTTGGTGTGTCAATTTTATGTTATCTAATTAATTTATTATAATTTATTTGATATATAATGATTTCTTATATTTACGCGAACACTACACATTGAAATAATACTAGTTTTTACGGAATTTATCGCGTGTATTTAACTTTTTAATTACCCGACGTTTCGAACGCTTTACAGCACTCATGGTCACGGGCAGGACTGAGATGTTCAACGTCCATACGTCATAGTTAACCGCGGTTACCATAGATTAAAATTTAACTTTTGTTCCGATCTATGCAGTATGAACTTATGGTATCTTGAAGTCTTGCAGTTGTATGCTTGGATTGGGATTTAATTTTATTTATTATAGGATCCCAAGCAGATGGTAGCACCCAGCCATCTTCTCTATTGAAATTAGGATGTTTTTTGATTTCAATAGCCTCGCGAGTCATCCTTGGAAGGAATCGGTGTTCTTTAGCGAGGATTTGCGGTCTATCAAATCTGATGTAGTGACGGGGGCGATCCTGTACGTGTTCACAGACTGCAGACTTCCTTCGACTTCTATTTGATATATTTTTCATTATTTATGAACCTTAGTGTTGAAATAAGCACACATAAATATTTTAATTGTTTCACAGTAAACTATTGTTAACCGATATTGTTTAATAATCGATTATATCTACTAACGGTAGCATAGTTTAGTTTTAGTTAATAGTACGGTTGCAACCTGTTTTAATAAATAAAATAACCAACTGTAACGAATATTTTTTGATCGGTACTTACAGTCAATCACCATATTTTTTATTATAAAAATATTTGCCGCAACGGCATTGACCGAACTTATAGTCCGAGTCAATAATTTCAGGCAGTACACAATAAGTAAACAATTTTATAAAACGGTTGTAAGTTGGGTCATATTCAAAATCTAAAATTTGTCGTCTTTGTAGATTTTTAGTACTTTTACTCCATAATCTGGACCAGTCCATATGGCAAGCATGCAGATATATTTATTCTCCATTATTTTTTCTTCAGAGATAGGACATTTCTTTTTTTACGTTTAGTGACACATTGATAGTTGTATTTATTTTTCCTCATTCGGACTGGTAAGAAAGCTCAGATACAATCAAAATAACTATAGTTCGTACCAAATCGATTGAGAAAAACGGACGATGACCTCAGATATGAGCCGTGTCAAAAGGTGTAACTTACAAAATCTCAATTTAGATGTGATAACAATATTTAAATATTGATATTATTCACACGTCTAGGTCAGCACATATGTTTTGTTTTTTCGTTTCTTAATCGTATAATCTAAAATCGTAAAATCTTACGGTATATCGTGAAAAATGTGTTATATTTTATATTTCAATTTATGGTAAGTAACGCAATAATTCATGTAATAAGACTTTCCTAATTTAAAAAATATTTGAAGCAATATAATCACCATATTGAGCTTTTGCAAATTCATCCCTTTAAAATAAACAAAACGCGCGTTACGTCAGTTTCCTTTTTGATTTGAGATGCGTCACTTTTTTACGGAATGAAAATAAAGTTCTTATATAATATTGAAAATAAAGTTTTATCTTTTGAATAAGTACGTACTTATTCGGTGTCGTTATCACTCGAATCTTTATATGTGTTATAAATTAATGCTTTTTGTTGTTAAATAAAGTACTTTATAACAATAGATGTTTTTTCTTCTATAGCGATCTTTTACATAACTTTTTAATAATAGTTAATATATATATATATATATATATATATATAAAAAAAAAAAATATCGATCATTATAACAAAAAAAAGTAAAAAAATCATTATAAATAAAGAAAATACTACACATAAAAAGTGCCTGTATATTGAAGGTTTGTAGCCCCTTGTTAAACAACCGAAAGGTCAATGTCCGTTTTTCTCAATCGATTTGGCACGAACTTTATAATGAGCTAACTATCTAGTATAATAATGACGTGCGAACTTTATACTAATTGAAATATACTGTACGAAGGTAAGTACTTCGAACGATTAAAAATTGCGGCGTAGTTGACGATGCTCTAGCACAAAATAGCAGCGCCACGGTCATCGATGCAAATTAAGATAATATCGAAACAAGATGGAGAGCGCGAAATAAAGTGACACAGGTCCGACCTCAAAAGCCGCTGGTGCGGTAGTGAATTCAGATGGCCAGCGCAGTGAAATATATGGAACCTTTATTCGATTAATTAAAAAATAATAGTAAGATTTAAAAAGTAAAAATCATAGTATAGTTTTAGCAAATGTTGGTAATTATTTTGGTATAAATTTTACGTCAAAATTATGTAGAACTTCGGAAATATTGGGGCTTGTATCGAAGCTTTTTCGATAGATGATTTAATTATGTCGATTTTTTTTCTTACGTGAAAGACATATCCGAAAATGTATTTTATCGTTATTAAAGTATAGGATATTTGTGGGATATAAATTTTTTTTGATGGTCGATATTCAATAGAATTTACAAATTAGAGCACCTAAATCATGTCTCTCAGAGTTTTGGCCTAAACATGCATCGGGAGAATGATTATAACTAAATAAATAAATAAGTTATCTAAAATTTGCCTTGAGATTACTCGTAAACGAACAACTAATTCAGGCAACGAACAGAAAACATATAATGTCAACGAGGAAACCTTGTAATTTCGCGTTTTTTTTTTTGTAATACTCCTCTTAATATAATAATAATAATAATGTCCTCCAGACTGAATTCCGGCCACGGCGGCCTGCCTCAACGGAGGCTAGCCATCGGCGCAGGACAGGATTATAGTGCCCAAGTAAGTATGCGCAAGCACAGGTGCACTCTCTATTCCCTCACTCTCATAATCCGATGGGACGGTAAACCGACACGACCGGAGAGAGATCAGGCGCAGGACCAACGGCTTTACGTGCTTTCCGAGGCACTGGGGTGAGACACCGCCAACTTCTTGACTCCGGGCAAATACTGAGAATTTCGTGACAGAAAAACTCAATAATTAATTTTTGGCCCGACCCGGGATTCGAACCTAGGGCCTTATGATCAGCAGTCGCACTACTACAACCACTAGACCAACGAGGCAGTCCCTCTTAATATATTAGTTACAGTATACGACTTTCCTGTCCCTGTCCTCCTAGTTTTGATTTTACAGGGCGGCAAAGGTAAGGTGACCATATTACCCTCACGCACCTCAGAATTTTTTAAACCATTACAGCCTATAAATTCTACTGCTGAACTTAGCCCCTCCCCCCCCCTCCCCATAATTGCCACGCTTGACAGGCGGGTTGGCAATGGCAGTTTTTATTATTTTCAATTGTTATCTAGAATTCGCTGCTGCCCATCCTCCTGTTTCCGTTTCCCGCCATTGCCTCTTACGACACCCACGGGACGATATGGGGTAGTGAATATTCTTACACCACCACTTCATGGAAAAACCTTTAAGGGCAAAATGATGGCATTACCAAGAAGCGCGTTCTCTCGGTCGCTCAACGTCAAACTTGGGCACTTCTTGTCGGGCTCGGGTGAAGATCTCCCAAGCAGTAACGCCATACGACCAAACGTCACTCTTCGTCGAGAAATGCCACGGCTCTACCGCCGACTCAGGTGCATACCTGTCAATAAAAACAAATATTCAAAAGATTGTAATATATTTATTCACAAAAATAAAATTTCGACTGGGTGGGAGAGCAAAAATATAAAATAGACAAAAAAGAAATTTTATTTCATTTCGTTGTTGATTTGTTACCGTTGTGTCCTTAAAGACTAAAGAAGAGAACAAATCAGATCCAACACTTCTTTGTATGCTCTTTATCGCAGTAATTTTGAGAAATGCACATTTTAACACTGTCCAAACGAATTCAGTCACAAATTATTCAGTATTCGTATGCACTCGTTTATTAAATTTTATTTTGAGTCAATGTCATCATTTATTCTCAAAATATGCAAATTGATTTATCATATGTCGAGATTGAATGATAACATGAACTTAAAATTAACCTTAACTAAACCAAAACCTCCCTCATTACGATGGTACAAACATCTTCCCATTAAAATTAACCTTTTAATATAAGGTAAGAACTTCAAAAACAAAAAATAATGTAGTAAATTCCACATAGGTACTAAGAAATATCACAGACTCAAGGTAAATAACCAGAATGTGATCTAAAGATTTAAATTAAAAATTTTATGCCTTATTTTTCCACATTAGTGGAGGAATATTCCTAATGTGTATTGGACCACTCCTGAAGTTTAACACTTTCACTGTCCGGTTTTTAGACACAATAGTAAGATAATACTGTTGCGCGCTATAATTATCGCCTGGTATGTGGCGGCTGATTATTAGCGCCATCTGGTATCAAGCAGCAGAAATAGTAGCGTCAAGATCTTTCTAGAACTCTCCCACTACCTTCATCTAGTATCAAATAGAACAACTAAGCTTTCTAGAAAGCTCTACACTCGAACTGTCTGCACCTGGTCGGTCGGGGGCCGGTATTTGCTGGATTATTCTGGATGTTTCGGTGGAAAAGGCCTATATAAAGTCGTTGAGGGCCGCGACCGGGGCAGTATTGAATTGGCGATATGAGCGAAGCTTTCGAAGTGAAATAAAGTGAACTAAAGTGTTAAGTGTGATTAATTACTAGTTTGATTTAAGTTTTAATTGGTGTTCAGTAATTAAAGTGTCAATTTTGGTAATTTAATCGGCAGTTTTTATTGTCACGAACCCTAAGCTCGTAACAATAGCAATGACCTATACGTAATGCATGCATTAAAATCAGCTCACAATTGACAGTCAATTTGAGAACCTCTTTCTTTTAAGTCGGCTAAAAAATAGAAGAAACAGTGTTCTCAAATAGTTCTTAGGATTCCCAAAAGGTATATTTAAATTTGAACTTCGACGTTAGCTTAATATTTAAAGAAATGAACTGCGAAAATAAAAAGTGGTAGGTTCGAATCCGTCAATCGACTACTGTCGTGAACCACTCTCCTAGCAGAAGCCTACTTTTGCTAAGTTGAAATGGTTAAGCCGGTTAAGTATCAGACGAATTAACATCTTTCATAGCAATCTTTTTTTATTGGATTTCCAAAAACAGGGATTCATTACAAAAATTTCATAATAGGAATTTAATTTATTCAGATCAATTTAGGTCTCCTTCAATTGAGGAAATTAAAAAAAAATATGTCAAATTTTTCATTTCATTTAAATATAATTCTTAATATTGAACAGTCTTCATACTTCAGCAACTCGAGTCGGACACAGTGCTCGAGAAAAATTATTGAATTGATAGAATCAGGTGTTACATTATGGAAATACATTATATTCCTACCAACTAGATAAGACACATCACTTTATTTTATCACGCGGATCTTAGTGGGAAGTGCTCCTCAAATTGGATAAGACTCATTATTTTATTTTATTACACAGATCTAGAAACGTGGTTGCTCAAACGGTTAGCGCTCGCTGGAAATTTCACAGTACGCGAGCAACCAGGCTGCAATCCCCGCCGGCACGAATGAAAGTGTTAATTGTAATTTTAAGTGCTGATTTACCACGTGCACGGCGGTGAAGGGAAACATCGTGAGGAAACCTGCATGTCTACGAAAAAAAAATATTTCGAAGGCGTGAAGTTCGCCAACACGCATTGGGGCGGACACTTCCTTGACCTGAAACCCTCTCAGAAATGAGGGGAGGCCTGTGCCCAGCAGTGGGACGTATATAGGCTGTAACTAACTTAAACACAGATCTTATCTAGCTAATAAATTTTCACATCTTTAATTAAATTATTTAATTAATGTTATTATTAATTACTAATTAAATTTAAAGTGCCCATTAAAATTAAAGTACTGTGCTCGACAGTAGGCTGTTTGTAGTCTAATGTACTACTTAATATTAAAGCTTTGTTTAAATCTATTTGTTAAAAAAACACCATACCAATTAATAGGGAGCAATCGCTCGGTTTTGATTCTATATGCACTCTCCTCCTTTGGTATTATCCTCGCAAGACCGAAGTCTGAGATCTTCACGTGATATTTGTTTACAACAAGGATATTTCGCGTAGCCAAATCACGGTGCACCACGTTTTTGGCAGACACGTGATCCATTCCCTAAAATTGACATTAAAAAATTTATTCACGTCTCGTAAACCAGTAAATAGTTTAAATCATAGTGTTATGCTTAAAATAGCATCGTGTCGAACAACTTAATAAAGAATGTCCCTTTTAATTTTCCCGTGTGTTACAATAAGTATGTGCCACGGTAACTTTCTTATTTTAGTGATAACCACGACAAAACTTGGCGTAATCAGTGGCAACATTTTAGGATCAGTCAAGTGTCAAATGTCAAAGATTTTTGTCTGGCAAACAAAAGTAAGAAACACCTATTCAGTGTTACATGCGACTGTGTGTGTTATTATTTGCAATCCCACCAGCGTGTATCTGAGACGTGTGGATGAGACATGGATCCGAGACATGGTCCTGTACTGCTAGCCGTACGAGGAAACTTTTTCTGCGTGTTCTAGTGCGGCCATCCTCATTATGAATAATAAACCTGAGTAACCGACAAAGCCCATCAGAGCAAGCTAAAATAGCAATAAGCCAGCTGTATGGCTCGAAGATTATACGTGGTAGAGCCATGCTGCAGTTATATTAGATGTACAGTTGTAGCACGAATGGGTCGGCTCGACCGGGGAAGGACCACGGTTTCACAGAATACCAGCGTAAAATAGTAGTTTAATGCTGCTGTATTTCGTATGGTGAGTGTAGAGAACCGGAGACCCATTTTACTGGAAACGAGGTATTCCATCTTAGTCCTCACGGGTGACAACGCGTCTGCATTTTGATTCGTAATCGAGGATAGATGTAGATGTCTATGGGCCACAGTAACCACTTACCATCAGGTGGACTATGTGCTCGTTTCCCTATACTATAAAAAAAAGATTACGGATTATTAAGCTGAAGTGGCAATGGGTCAGCCATATAGTTCGAAGAACCGACAACCGTTGGGGAAAAAAATTCTCGAGTGGCAGCCCCGTACCGGTAGGCGAAGTGTAGGGCGACCCCCTCCCCCCCCCCCCACTAGATAGAGTGACGGCCTAGTAAGACATGCAGGAAGTCGATGGATGCAGGTAGCTCAGGACCGTGCTTTGTGGCATACCTTGGGGGAGGCCTATGTTCAGCAGTGGACTTATGAAGGGCTGTAATAATGATGATGATGGCTCGAAGAACAGACAACCGATGAAGAAGAAAAGTTCATGTTCTCAGGGTCATGTTCTCTGGCATTCCTTGGAGAAAACCTATGTTCATAAATGGACTTGTGTGTGTTGAGCAGAGTGTAATGATAATGATAACCAGCCTTACTCTTTAAACCGGACCTAAACAGTGCGTCCACTGCTGCTAAGCGACGGTAGAAGGACTAGATGCACACAGTAAGAGTTTCACCTTCAAATTTGATCTTCGATTGAAGTAAACACATGTTGCTTTGAACCACAAAAGTTTTATTTTAATTTTAAGAATAACTTTATACCTAGGTGTACCAAACTTATTATTATAATTATATTTATTATCAAAACAAAAGTCGATGAAGTTATTTATTCATGCTCATTAAGTATCAATTTCCCTCTTTTCTAAAAGCAACCCCTTAAGTCCAAACTTAGTATTTTAACCTCAAGTATGTATTTGGGTAACCTTTTATAACTATAATATGAGAATTTTCAATCATCAAGTGAAACTATCCTATTGAAAAACTTGTATAACAGATATATTATAGCCACTCAAGGCGATTCCAAAGTTTTGCTGAATTTCGCTCAGGAAATTGAAAATCCGTACGATAAAGCGACGTGTACAAGTTAAAATAATTGAAAGTTGAAATTTAAAAAAAGAACACTTACGGTGGCAATATCTTTGGCATATTTAAGCAGATGCGAGATTCGCAGCTTATCTCCTTGGAACTTGAGATAGTAGTTGAGCGAGCCCTCTTCTAAGTACTCCATAACAATGAGCACGTCGGACCCGTAATCCCACGAGTAGCCCAGGATCTCCACTATGTTAATGTGTTGCAGCGACTGTTCAATGTTTAATATAATAAGAAATAACAGTTTGATATTAAAAATGGAGAGGGCTATACTCGGAGTTTTTTTCCGGCACAAGACTTAGAAATGAGGATATCTGCAGTTGAACTAAAGTATCCGACAAAGCCCAGAACGGATCAGTAATTTGAAGTGGCAGTAGACCGGAAGATCCTATAACCGATGGGGAGGAAAGTTTCGTGATTGACAGCCAAATACCAGGAAGTGAAGTGTAGATAGAGTGAAGACCTGGTAAGAGATGCAGTTGATGGATGCAGATGGCTCAGGACCGTGCTTCTTGTCATATCTTGGAGGGATGTTCAGCAGTGAAATTGTGAAGGTATGTAAAAATGTAAAGGTAAATAATAATCAAAACTACTTTTTACTTCATAGCCTTATCCTTACATCTCTTTAGCATATTATATCTATCTTTAGCATTATAATTATGCAAAAACGTAATCAATTTTACAGACTTAAAAACGGTTGAGCTATCAGAAACTTATATTAATAAGTACCATTATTGTTTAGTGGACACAATAATATCATTATCCAGTAAATTACATCATAATATAAGTTAAAATTGTTACTATTAGTAGAGTTATCAAAACTTGGTCAGTTTATAAATATATTAAAAATATACAAAACCAGGTTTCAGTTTTTTTTATTAAATACACTTACAAACAAACGCACACTACTAAACGTCATAGTAATTCTGGCAAACATATCATTTTATTATTTAGCAATAGAGATAGATCATTTTACTCTGTTTATTGTATTTTATGCGCAGTCACACCGTAAAAATTTGTCACAACTTATTGCTTGCACTTACGCGAAAGTTATTGGCATAGTACAATTAACTTAGATTAGGTAGCGCGTATCGTGCCGACAAATGTATTTGAAAGTTGTATTTCACACAATTTCAATAAATACATATCTAATTAAACATTGAGCTATTATGTACTACGTACTAGAGGCGACACTGCATTCAGCTACTCTGTTCCACTCAACTGCGGTGCATAGACCGCACTTTAATCAGTCACTCGCTAGGCGCTTATAGAGTTGTCACGTGTTGTGTTGATTTAAAAAAAATCTCTTGATAAAAATATGCCCTCGTGTGTACTTAGATATTGCACAAATAATTCGAGAAATATTATTAAAAACCAAGGAATTACTTTTCATCGGTTAATAAGATAATCAACAAAAACGTATTATGTATAAATAATAAAACAAATTATTCTTAAGACACCATCTCGTGTCATGGAATATGGATTATGAAATTATTATGTTCAGATGCGACATTTCTGTGGGTACTTAAGTATAGGACGAATATATTATTATACAAATTTTTTTTGTAGATACATATTTAAGTTATTATAATTTGGCAAAAATATTCATGTTTCATATATGTCATAATTCTTTTATTTTATTTTTAGGTTTCCACATCAAAGTCAAAGTGGTATAAATTCGTCCATTTTTAACTCTCGCGTGCCCAGCATTTATGAACGACTTTTATTCTAATTTAAATAAATATATTTGTAATTTAAATGTAATGTTAATAAGTTTTGTTAAACATACATTTAGTATGTTTTTTTTATATTTGACTTAGATACCTTTTAAAATATGCAGATAAAATATCATTAAAATGTAATTGTGATATAATATTATGTAATATTATATTAAATAAGCAAATATGATATACAAAATAAATGACAAAATTTAAATACTGTCCTCGATATAATTTACCTATTTCACAATACAATCTACTATTACCTACGGGTCCTTCTACCTATTTTTATTCTATGATAAATAAAACAACCGCGCGAACACAGAGTAGCGCACATTTTTTGTTTGAGATAGACAATTATTTCTTCTGCGGCATCAGAATCATAAGCCTTATTCGTTTGATACATTCAACACCAAAAGTTATTTAAACAAACCTTCATTATCTCCAATTCGTTCTTGAAGTCCTCATACAGGTTCCCGTTTCTCTCAGACGCCTGCCGAGTTAATTTCTTTACCGCCACTTCTTTCCTCTGAGATTCCTGGTTGTCACGTTCCATCCATCCCTTGTATACATGACCGTAATTACCCTATAACAATAAAATTTAAGGAATTTATTACAATTAAAAACATCACGTTCCTTCTTCATTATGGAGTATCCAACAATTTTGGAATTATGATGTCCTATTGTTAAGCATACTGAAAAACCAACTGCGCTGTAAATGTTATGGTTGCCATACACACATACACCCAGATTACAGTACAGATTTTTTGTAAATTGTTTATAAGAATTTTTAATGTTGTATGTGAAACAATATTCATGTTGGTTGGCAAAATCATTGTGTATTACGACTTATACCTATTTCTGCCATTAACTGCAGGCTGTGAAACATTCCATTTGTGTACGCAGAGGCAAAAACATACTTGATAGTCTTTTTCAACCGACTTAAAAAGGAGGAGGTATTCAATTCGACTAGTATATGTTTTTTATGTGTTACCTGAGTACTTTTTTCTGGGTGAACCTATTATGATGATTATTTGTTTGTTTGAAAGCTGGTGCTTCTCGTGTGTTCTCATCTGACCAGTATTTTTCCAGTTATCCTTAACAATGCGTATTTAATTGATTCATGATGTTTTCGTTTTATTTATATGGAAGTCGGTTGTACAAAAATTTTAATTTTACTGCTTGTTAAATATACACCCATCATAACACGATAGTCAAGAGTCCCACTACTCTTACGTTAAACAATGCGTACGAATTAGATCGATAGATAAATCATTTATTTGTTTCTCCAATCACACACGTAAACTCTTTGACTAAACTAGGTACAAAGTAATGTATTACAAAAAAAGGTACATAATCTTAAGATCTAAAAGTACATGTGTGTTGCAGTTTGACAAATGGGTTCTAGCTCAGTGATTAATACTGCTCAGAGAGCAAACACTGGGCGTCACTCGACAGTGAGACAGGCGATACTCACACTGCCGATCTTCTTGGTGAGCGTGACAAGGTAGGTCTTGCCCTGCGACACGATGGACTCCATGAGGCGCGGCGCGGCGCAGGCGGCCAGCTCGTCATGCTCGGGGCGCGCACCGCACGCGCTGCTGCGCCCGCTGCACGCCGAGCCCGCCTCGCACGCCTCGCCGCGCAGAGCGTACGCGAGCGCGTTCATGTTCTCCAGCGAATTGGAGCTCTTGTTGTCCGAGAACTATAGTCCAACATTACAGCGATAAAGAAACCCTAACCGATAACTAAAAACGACGTGTAGTGGTGTAAGAGAATCCACTACCCCATATCGAAAGGCGAAAGGTCTTCCTGATAACTACTCAAAATATAAAAATGTGAATGGGTCAAAATATGAGGCAACCTATGGGGATATTCAAGAGGACTTTTGACAGAGTGTAATAATAATAATGATGAATAACAAAAAAACGATCTGAGACAATCTATTGACTACTGAACAAGTACATATCAGTATAACTGAAAACACTCTATAACGACTAGTATCTCTATAAGAGATACCGCGCAGATTTAAAATATCTGATAATGCAATCCCTAGGCGTGTTTAAGAGGTAACGGTAAAGCTAAAACCTTACTTCAATGGATACAACCCATGTCCAGCAGAAGAATGTTCACAAACAAGTAGCCCAAAAAATTACATGAATAATTTATTTACTTACAACATATGTTACAAACTATTAGTTGGATGAAAATAACAAATCAAACTCGGTTCAATAAGGAAATCACTTAACACATTATCTACATTCATATTGTTCTAAACATCGGGCTTCCTGGATGCTACGCCAAACATAAATATGTCACACATACTGCAATGCTTAACGTAAAATAAGTTGGACAAAGCAGGTAACTGTGTTTAAAACTGTACCGACTTGGTACTATTATACAGGATGTCCCAGAAATAAACGTCAAGCCGGAAACTGGCAATAGGCTAAGTCGTGACAGTTATTAGAAAAATATAAAAAAAACTTCGTCATGTAATTTAAAATGATAAGGATTCAAATATAAATCTCCAATATGCGCAGTAAGCGAATGAGCGTAACGTAATGCAGTATTGCACAATGTGCCTATGCTACGCATCCCTGTTTCGCCAGAGTGGGGTCTCTATCTGTTTCACTCACACAGATGAAATGATATGTCAATCCGTCTCGCTCTTAGAAAAAAGTAGCGTCACTATCTATCTCGCTCACATTTAAGAAAGTAGCGTCACCATCTGTCTTGGCCACAGTAGTCAAAGTAACATCACTCTTCGTCTCAATCGAACTTGTATGAGATCCAGCTTCATTAAAAAAAAAATCTCAATTAAAAAGTAGCAATTAGTAAGTGTCTACCATTTTGGAATCCAGGCTAAGTGCGCCATCATTTAAAGTTACTTTTCAAAATAGTGTACTCCATTTTTTAACAGTACAATTGGTTAAAGTTGGGTAATGTAATCATTTTGAATTCAATGACGTTCCAGATCTTTCACTTTTGTAAGTCGACACGAAATGCCCATCAGACTAAACAACTTTTGCTAAGACGTCATTCCTATATATGTTTTTATTTCGCTGGGCTTTGGAATTTCACAACAGGTGTTCCAGATCTTCAAATTTATTCTCACAGCAGCAAAAACTCTTCACGTGGAATATTTTTTGCTATGGCACCATTTTTATATCTCTTATACTTTAGCTGGTCTGTTGCGGTTTTGCAACAGGTGTTCCATTTTCCAAAATAAATTATAGTTACCTAGACTTAACACCTATACAACAAAAACTTTTCATCCCGTATATTTCACCGTGATTCCAAGAGTACACTGAATTAACAATAATATCGCAAATCACTTCACACTCACGCTCCTGACTGCTCTCAAGTGATCGAGCAGTCTCAAAGCGAATATTCTGAAAACTCAACCTCTGATCCCTCTGTGTAACCGTTTCGGATGCGCGAGACAAAGAATGACGATCCCGGTCGATAGCTAAGCGCATTTCTCGTTGTTCCACACTTTCCTGAGATCGAGAACAGTAGTGCGGACTCGTTTAAATTCTAGTCGTAATTGGCATGTGTACTAGTTTCTGCGGACAAATTTAGTGCTTACGCTCACGGTTCTAGCATCTAGCCGTTGTTCACGCTCTGCGTGGGTTCGAGAGAAACTACTTAACTAAAAATATGGTAACAGCAGCAAGGAACAAAACTAAGAATTACATACTTAAATCAATTACCTGCAACAAATGTGCTTGGTAAGATATAACTTAGAATCAAAAGTTTGACTTTACTTCATGATAGTGTAACTTGTTGTACCACCATTCATTCTGTTTAGTAATATTGGTGTGAAACTCTGAACACAATTAGATAAGACATGTAAAGTTCTCAGATTTCCTAATGAACATTAAAAGTGCAAAAATTAAACAAAAATTACGATTTTTCTAAACAATATTATGGAATTTAAACTTGCGCCATTTAATGCGGTAAACGGTCGCCTGACCTTACCGCTAAATTCCCCGTTGACATACTGTTAAACAGCTGTTCCCTTGCAATTTATAATATTACTGCCCCGCTCCTTCATAAAAATAGCGTGATTATTATGTTCCCAGAGTTAAATTTTATTTTTATTTTAACTAATAACATGTTATTTTGTGCATTCAATTATTTTGTGCATTCAATTACGAAGAAAAACCTTTTAAATCAATAATGCATACCTCCTATACCATAATATGTAACCTAAAGCCTTCCTTGGTTAACAAAGAACATTTTTGCTGAATTTCAATTCAATCTATCCAGTATTTTTGGCGTGAAGCCGTACCATACACACAGACAAACAGACAAAAATTCTAAAAAGTCACTTTTTGTCATCAGTTACGTTTTTCTAACAAAAGCCACTTATTTTTTCTCGAAAATACTCAATGTACAGTTTTTCTTTCGTTACTGTTTTATTATATGTATAGATCACAGGACAAATCTAAAAAGTACATGACCAAGATTTCTGTACCTTTTTCAAATAACTGTCACGACTTGGCCTATTGCCCGTATCCGACTTGACTTTGATTTCTGGGACACGTGATATAAAGACCCTTTTATTATACAATTACCGTTACAGCCTATCAAAAGTGAATCGCCAAATATAGTTCTCCCCACAGATTGTCTCATAGTGAAGATTACCTAACACAAGCACCTCCTTGCTTAAAAGGTGATCTCCAAATCATGTATGTTAAAACATTGTGTAATTGAAATAAACATTTTTTTTATTTAATTTAATTTGCCATAGTTGTCACGCTGGGCAAGCAGGTTTGCCAAACGCAGTTTTTTATTTTTAGTAGTTATTAGATTGCTGCAATAAGTACATATTTATAATCGAAAATTATTAGCTCGTAACGGTAGTTGGTAAAAATAGTTGTCTACATTATCTCATTAGGTGATAAACCTGTAAAGATAATTGTATAGTGGAAAATAAATAAAAAAACTCCTGCTTTGTTTCCTTCCGTCGACTCTTACGATACTCAAAGGACAATTTGAGGGATGTGGATACTCTTACACCGTCACTACACGGTATGTGTACTCTTAGTGAGCAAAAAATACTTGAATACTTGCTCCTATGTCGATATTCACATTTTTTCTGATAATAGTTATACTTAATACCGGGTGGGTATTACAAAACTTTGGAAAAAAGAATGAGAACAATAATTAAAACTACTTTTACGGATTTTATCGCGTTTTATTTATATTAATTTTAATACCCGACGTTTCGGGTGCTTTCCAGCACCCATGGTCACGGGGGACTGAGGTGACTGACGTCCCGATGTCAAAGTTAACCCGGAGTACCTTCAGCTTTTTAACAACTTTTTACTCGCCTGATTTAAGATCTTAGCGCTTCCTCGAATGTCTTTTTTAGTAGATATCTTGACACACGTAGGAATGAGATTATGATCTCTGCATCTCTTCAAGAGATTTAAAGCTGTTATGTATCTAGCGCGCTAGGTCTTTAGATCTTCTAATCGGCGTATTTTATTTGTATTAATATAAATAAAACACGATAAAATCCGTAAAAGTAGTTTTAATCAATGTATAGTGTTCGTGTAAATATAAGAAATCATTATGTAAACCAGTACGGACTGGAAATAGCAAATAAAATACGCCGATTAGAAGATCTAATGACCAAGCGCGCAAGATACATAACAGCTTTAAATTTCTTGAAGAGATGCAGAGATCATAATCTCATTTCTACGTGTGTCAAGATATCTACTAAAAAAGACATTCGAGGAAGCGCTAAGATCTTAAATCAGGCGAGTAAAAAGTTGTTAAAAAGCGGAAGGTACTCCGGGTTAACTTTGACATCGGGACGTCAGTCACCTCAGTCCCCCGTGACCATGGGTGCTGGAAAGCACCCGAAACGTCGGGTATTAAAATTAATATAAATAAAACGCGATAAAATCCGTAAAAGTAGTTTTAATCAATGTATAGTGTTCGCGTAAATATAAGAAATCATTATGAGAACAATGATGTTTTAAATAAAGGAAAAGGTCATTACTTACAGGATTGTCATACTGATCAGACATAGTGCCGTTCATCGATGCCACACTACTATCGACAGAAATTAATGACTTGTTGCTGCCAGCGTCGCTTAATTCGCTCGGTATAAATCTATCACCTATAATAACACAATACTGTAACAATGTTTGTTAAATAGTAAATCTGACGAGGAAACTAAAAAAGAAACTTACTAGAAACTGTTTCAGCATGTTCCAAGTGGTCAAGGGAAATCTTTGGTTCCTCATATGTATGTATTGGTACATATTCTGGAAAAAAAACGTTTTTTTAAAAGAATGCCACTAAAAACAATATATCATTGTAACAAACAATACGGTTCTATAGACTATAATTGTGTTTTATTGTGTGGCGACCGCTAAGAGAAACCATTACGCTATTTTGTCCGGTAGATGTCGTTATCAGCTTCCGAGAGATGGCGGTATAACCATATCCTTTACGCCAAAATGAATATAACCACACCGGTTGCGTCAGTTGTTCGAGCGTCAACTTCTCTGAAAATCGGGGCGAATCCTTACAACTAGAAAAGCCATTCTCCATAAGTTAAGTCAACCAGTGTTGCGTAATCTATCACTGTGGTCGAATTAAACACAAACAGCCAGAATTACAATATATAGACAATGCACGAAAGGAAAAAAGACCTGAACATTTATATTCCTATAAGCAAGCGTAATTAGATATACCTCTATGTAGCATGTGATTCATGTCTCGCATGATCTCCTGAGGGCGTAACGGGTCACTCTGCCAACACTGTCGCATCAGCGCCCATACTTCGCTCGGACATCGCGCTGGCCGTAACAAACGATCTCCCATCTCATAGCTCTAAACAAAACATTAACCGTAAACAAACTTTCTATGTAGGCTGTAGTGTTTTTTCTTCTGTGTTGATCCTAAATTGAGTATAAGAAAAGGGCGGTCCATGTTCTACTTAAATGATAAGTGGCTGCAGCTAAGTATTTCAGATTGCACTCGGGGGTTTGCTAGATTGTGTTTTTTTAACGTTACTCTCATAGTATGATTTTCTCCTGTACATTTATATAATTTTTAGGTAGGAAAACATCCACACCCCCATATATTTATATACTGGTTCTAAAACTCTACTTATTTTGTGGTAACAGGAAATAGAATAAATGGGACCCTACACTCTATTGTGAAGAGTCAAAATGTGTCGAAAAAGGCACATATGGCGATTCACAATGCTGTGTTGGTCCCTACTTTAACGTATGGTAGTGAAAGTTGGGTGTGGCAGAAGAAGCACGAGAGTAGAATGAACGCAGTAGAAATGCGGTCGTTAAGGAGTATGTTAGGGCTGAATCTGAATGACAGGGTAAGAAATTGTGTAATAAGAGAAGAGTGTGGTTTGCAAGATGATGTTGTGACCAGGATTAAGAAAAGAATGCTTCGGTGGTTTGGTCATGTGGAAAGAATTAATGAGGGAAGAGTGACAAAGAAAATTTATGTTACAGAAGTGAATGGCAGAGTCGGAAAGGGACGTCCTAGGCGAAAATTTATCGACCAAATTGGCGATTTATTGGCAGATTAAATATATAGATTGACTTGGTCATCGCATGAAAACGCAATATATCTCACAGGTAATATATATTATATTAAATTAGATTACTTAATGCGATTGCCAATTCAATCTATGTATTTAAAACATAAAAGATTTTTAACATTGGTATGGCCACTATAAAATGTTGTTAGGTTAGCTAATTACATAATAACTTAAAACACCCTTAAGACGGACGAAGGACCCTTTAGTAGGGACTGAATAAATTAACCAACTTGGTATTACATGGATCGCATAACTTTTTACGGTAGAAGAACTGAGTTGCAAGACTTGTTTTTTTTTTACAAGTTATGTTTTTGATGGCATCTCATTTCTTTTTTGTAGACAATATAGTCCTAGTTTTTTCCTTTCCAGTACCTTCTACTTCTTAATTACCAACAACGTACCTATCTACACCTATTATACATATACAAGAACATTGATTCATTCACTGCAAATGTAACTTTGTAATTCTATATATTTATATGGGATTACAAAATTATTTATGTAGAAAAAAATCTAAACTGGACCGAAATTTAAAAATATTTTAGTTTTTCCTTGATTTATACACTAAACTCTAATTGTGTTCTAAATTTTAAGCTTCTATATCTGCTAGAAATGCCTTAGAGTTTTGATGATCGGTCAGTCAGTGAGTGACAAAATTAAGAAATTTTGACTAGTTATAATTCTTAAACTACTGGTTCAAATTGAATGAAATTTGAAATATACCATGTTTATACAATTCCTATTCGGGCTTCTAGTTAAAATTCAGGCTTCTAGTTTTATCCACTACCAAGTTATAGGGGGGTCGAAAATGGCCTGAATTGCTTCGAGAAGAGTATGGTACGGCCGTGCCGCTTTTTTTGCTCGACTTGGCGGGGGCACTGCCGTGCCCCCAGTTTTAAATTATCGCTCACTACGCCTTAATAGTTTAATTAGCTGTCAATTGCTCTTCAATTAGTAGGTACACGTGCGTTAATTTTTTGCCGCGTTAAAGACTCACTTTCGTATAATCTTTACGCACCATGTAAAATTTCATTACGCACCATGTAAAATGTAGCACCGTTTCATAGTATTCGCGGTTCGAATATTTTCGTTCCGTCATTGGTAACAAAGCAACACTACTTAGGAAAATTTTAAAATAGCACACCCGTACATAATGAATTCACGGTCAACACTGTCAATTGTCGGCAAGCCGGGCGGACGAAGTACCTAGCGGTGTAACGCTTAACAGATGGAAAGGGCGCAGGAAGACGCGCGACAAAGTACCTAAATTCGTAACCGAGTGACCCTTCCGATGTCATGTCACTCAGACGTAGTAAAATAGTAGGCTTTAGATATTTAGGAATAACAATCAGTTAAAATAATGCATTACCACGTATTCTGAATTTAAAAGATAAAATGGATAAGAATATTTGAGATTTCTTTATTAATTTTTTTTCACCATTCGCCTATGTTACTTATTCTGAACCTTCCCTGGAAATTTAGGCATACATTTTAAAATAACCCTGCATGCCATAGGGCGTGGACTTGCGGAAACCAGTCCAGTTAATCAATGAAGTGTTTCTTTACTTCTAATATACAAGAGTATGATCACAAAATATAAGTGGCGAGGATTCTGTTAATTATAGCTTGTAGAGTATGATCACAAAATATACGTGGCGAGGATTCTGTTAATTATAACTTGTAGACGATTATTAAGATAACTCTTAAACAGTGACCCGTCATCAAAGCCGTAATGTAATAGTTTATCTATTAACAAATCTGTATTGATCGAATCGGTCACAATAGCACGTCATCTACAACATTAATAACGGCTGTAGCTGTCCGATGAGTCTTCTTCCTAAACTCTGATTGTAACTTAAGTAGTATTTTATTTAATTCACGAAAGCGTAATACCTTATAGTGTACGACTTTTTCCAAGATTTCTAATAAATATGGTAAAATACTAATAGGCCTTAGGTATCTTAAATCAACTGCGTTGACTTTTGTTTTGGTACAGGACGAATAGTATATATAATAGTGACTTGAGTTTTGTTCGGTCTGCTTTCTATCAACTTCCTATTTCGTAACTAATTATTAGTTAACTTTTTGTTCGTTTAAAAGCTACTAAATATATTATACGAAGTATTGATTCTGCAATTGCAAATTCAGAGATAATAAAGTTTTCTAACGTTTTGTATGTTACACACACAACATAAAATTAATAGATTTAAAAATTACATTGCGAAAGTCCAACATACGATTCGACATTGTTCGATAATGTTAGTAATATTTAATAAATAAGTTTGTTTAATGATTAAGGTTACCTAATGCAAAATGCTAAAAGGCGTTACGTTTTACTATTGCCCTTAAAATAAAGCATGTTTAGAAAACGTACTAAGCTACTCGCAATGAGAAACATACGCAAAAATAAAAAAGGCTCAATCAAAATAATTATGTCAACATTTAATCTTGTTTTGTTAATACTTAATTTAGTTAATAAAGTAAAAACGTACCCTTGCAGTCAACACAGGATTAGTTTCATTGGGCGATTGTCCATATGAGAAAATCTCCCAAAGCGTAGTTGCAAACGCCCAAATGTCAGCCACTACAGATCTCTTCGCCAAATTTAAATCGGAATAGAATTCTACTGGTATCCAATGGACACTGAAAAAAAAATTAAACATTACATTAGTTTTAAATTTACGTCCGTCAAAACATAAAATAGAACTGCAATTACATGAGATTGTTATAGGGTCATGTCACAGAGACTATGTCTTTCGTGCATATCTCATATTCGCTCTTTACGACATCTAAACAATGATAATCTACCCGCATCTAAAGTTACGCTTATGCGCTTATATTGTAAATATCTGTATGTAGAATATCCGGATGGTCTGAATTTGTTTGGATTCTCTCGAAACTTTAATAAATTTTATTAATTTAATTGCGTTATCAATTTAAGTAAAAGCTCGATTAATCTCAATTATGCACTCAATCAATTGATAATTATTATATAACGTTTCGTCTTTTTAGATAGTTTGGTTTCAAAAAATATAGCACTTAAAATTTCATATAGATACAAGCAACAAACCCAAAATTCCGATATTTTGAAATTCGAACGCATATACGTTAGCAACGGTCGAGATGTACACTTGGTTCGTGTAAGTGCACAGATCAATCCTAGCAAGTTTGAGCACGTAGCGGTTAAACACGTGCGCGGTGACACATACGTAGTCGTGAGTCACGCGAGCTCAACCAGATGATGGGGCGTGTGCTTTAAAGTTGTTCAAAACGACTATAAATCAAT